GTGGTTGTCCTCATCTTTTTTCTGATCGTCTTCTTTGGTGTTTTCCTTACTATCTTTTCATGTGCATCGATCTTTGAAGGTGTAGCAATTTCCGATGGTGTGCTTTCCGTTAGAGTGTAAGATGCAATGCATATTTTCAATGTCGTCATATCTTCTGGGTTTGTAAAACTTCTTTGATTTGTCAGCCATTGCCACGGTGCTGTCTGGTCTACGTTTTCTTTCCTGATGTCTGCTATTTCGATGATTTTGCTTGTCCGGGTTGTCTCGGTTGCTTCTATCGGGGAACCTTTCTCGTGTCTTCTCTTCTGCAGTAATTATCTTTTCTACTGTTCGTCTGAATTCTTCATTGTTTCTCAGATTTTCTTTGCAGAAATCTTGAAATTGCCACCTAGCCATGATTCCGTGAGAGAAAGCTTCAATTACTTCTCGTTCGGTGATGTCATGTACTTGAGCTCGTAGTTCACCGAATCGTCGATAGTAATCTCTGAGACTTTCACCTCCCTTCTGCTTGAGTCCTTTTAACTCTGCGTGGGTGATTGGGTGTGTAATGATCCCTGCGAAATTTTCACAGAAAGCTCTTTACAAGTCCTCCCAATTTCTGATTGATCCTGGATTCAATTTGTCGAACCATTAGAGAGGCATGGTTTCTAGGGCCATGGGAAAGAACAGGGTCTTGATATCGTCGTCTCCTCCGACTAGTTCAATCGATTGCGAATATATCCTGAGCCACTGCCTTGGTTCAGTCTTGCCATCATATTTAGAATGGTTGGATGGTTTGAACTTGTGAGGTAGTCGTATTGACGCAAGTCTTTTTGTAAAACAGGGGAATCTATCGTGCGTTCTGGCTTCTTTGAATTCCAATTCGGCACCTCCTTCTGGCCAACTGTTGTTTTGATGAGAGTAATCCTGTGAGGCTGTCTAGGCAGGTGCCCTGCTTCTGGTCTTTCTTGGTTGTTCAACTCGGTGGCTCTGACTATGATCCCTTCTACTTTCTCTATTATGACTTCCACTTGATCCAAGTCTCTCAAAAGCGGACTTTCTTTGATTTTGATCTTCTTGCCTATGGGTCGTTGATCTGGCGGGTAGTCTTGAGTGGGTCCTTTCTTCGTGCGTCCTCAGGGCTGCTTACCGGAGAAAATCCCGGAGCTGTTCTTGTTTTTCACTGGGATGTGAGGTCGCTCTGAGTTCTTATAATGCTTCTCGGATCTTATCATAGGGCGTATTTGCCGTGCGTCTTTCTTTGACTTCTCATTGTGATTTCCTTCTATCGTATTCAGCCAACTCTGACTCATATCTGATCCAAGCTTCCTTGCGCTGCTTAGCACGGTGTTGGCGTCCTTGCTTCAACTTGTTTTTCTTTCTCTGGCTTGTTTCTGATTCTCGATCTCACCATCGTAGCCCTAGGCAAAGGGTGATATGTTGGATTCTAATTCATCCGATGACCTGACATCGGGCGCTTCTGGGGGGACCAATGGTGATCGAGGATGGCGAACCATGAGTACTTCCCGTACGTGAACTGTTCTGTTATTGGCGTTAGTTTCCACACTGTCGGAGTTGCTGATAACTTTAGTAGAGGCCTCGAGGTCGCAGATCGAGTCTCCTTCTTGGTAGGATAGAATTGCCATTGTCATCGTGTCGACCAGTCAGGTACTACTATACTCAGGAACAGAGCCCGGCTAGTGGACGATGCAGTCTTGAGATGTTATAGTTAGTACGAGACCTTCCTGAGCTCCCTTCAGTGGCATTCTAAGCACCGGATCGAGGAATCCTTCGGGCTGTGTTTGATAAGATGTTGCCATGTTGTGGAGTCCGAACGGAAAAGGATCCAGCTTCTTGAAAAGATTCTGTGTGTACTCCGAGTTGTATTCTTGATAGGTTACGACCGCGTTCTTAAGCCCCATCGGAAAAGAACTCGGTTTCCCGAAAGAACTTAGATAAGACTCTATCTCGGATGTGGAGCTTGAGTTCGAGTCGGATACGTAAAGCCGTGAAACCTGAGTGGAATCGGACATCACGAGCTGCGCGAATCTTTCGGTGATTTGATCTGTCGTAGTCATCGAAATAGAATAGTCTTCATGGTGATTCGAATCTTCGAGGAGACGGCTTTGAAGCTTGCCATTGTCGTCCGCCTCGCAGATCCATGAGCCGAAGATGAAAGTTGATTCCGTCGAGAAGATCATGCTGTCGAGGTCCATCGAGCTCTCGGATGCAAATTCGCCGAAAGCCCCTACCTGGCGCGCCAGCTGTCGATGTTTGACCACCGATAGCCTGCCACGGGGTTATCCGGGATAGTATGTTCGGGCTTCAGCGTATGCGGAACTCGATGGTGAACGCAAGAGACAGTCGATTTATCCTGGTTCAGGCCCTCGACTGTAGTCGAGTAATAGCCCTACGTCCAGTCGGCGTTAGCCTTTACGTTGGATTGATTGTAAAGTGTTGTTGTGTTGTAGAAGTTGTGATCTCCCGTCTCTAGGAACCCTGCCCTCCTTTATATAGTTAGGAGATCAGAATCCTAGCCGGTTTACAATGAGAGTTCCTAATAGGATTACAGAATAATACTACTACTAAGATTACATGGGGAGAATCCTAGTTAGACTAGATCTTCTCTCTTCCTTGCGGGGTATCCTGTGGGTCCCGCACCGACAAACACCTTACTATTAACATCTCAACACCTTGCTACAGTATAATAGACCCCAACCATTGCAACTATCATACTTAGCAAATGTACTTAGTAAAAGTTGTAACATACCTTGTTTCTGAATAGCACGAATGAACCCAAACCATCAGATTGCAGTGATACCAACAAGCACCCTGCAAGTAACAAAACAAAAAAAAATGTAAATAACTAGGTACATGACAAGAAGATTGAATAAAAACAGCTACTGCAGCCACCAAAAGGACAAGTAATCATGTAAATAACTCATGCCAACAAGATCGAATACCACTGCTTTGATGAGCAGCTAGCAGATAAAAAACTGGCTGCATGGTCAAAGCTACTTGTCTTCATCCAAATACATAACTAGCTACATGCTAAATGCTAAGATAAATGAAATACATAACTAGCTGCATGCTCACATACATCAGCCAAAATAAATCACCGATGAGTACTGGAGTAGCAAACTAATCTAGTGCTGATTAACATAGGGAAGAGACATACCTAACCTATAGTAATTTAGTAGTTAGCGTAAGAAACAGGACAGTAATGAAATCACCATGGATTAACTATATAGAAACAAACACCAATGCCATAATGCTTAAAAAAGTATAGTTTACCACTTAATTAATAGTCAGATGGCACTGATAATAGAAACTGCTAACACACAGACAGATGAGTAGGTCTAGTTTTGTTCCAAAAGAAAATACTTCAATTTATGATAGTCCAATCCATGCATCATAGTGATTACACTAGTGCTTGTGATTTTCTACTGCAATTTGTCAAACAGTGCAAAGCCCGTATAGCTCCTAGATCAAGTTAGACACAAAGTTCATGTAGGGAAGGCAGAGAACACCTAGATCTTGCAGTAAGCGCTAGTTCCTTTCAGATCGATCAAGAAATCGAGTGTAGTAGTATCTGATGAGAGCTAGGAGGGGAATGAGTACCTTCTCGGGTCTAGTCAGGGCAGGTGGACGATCGACGGCGGGGACAATCGAGGCAACCGGCGGCGGAGGCGTCGAGGCGACCGAGGCGAGGACGGAGGATGCGACTGAGGCGAGGACAGAGGACGCGATCGAGGCTAGGACAGAGGAGGCGACCGAGGCTAGGATGGAAATCGAGGTGGCGGCGACGGCGCATGCCAGGTCGAGGTGGCGGCGACTCGCGAGCCTCGCCTTGAGCGGAACGGGGAAACAGCACCCGTGCGAGGGATGCGAGACGGGGATCAACGTCCGGTGTCATCAGTCCGGGCTCCTTACCCCGTGGAAATCGGGTGGAAGCGGGCCTCGAATCCACGCCCGTTGTGCTGCCAAAGAGCACCGTAAAATGGCTCGGGGGAGGCTGCCCCGTGGTTTTCTGGCTCGTGGAAAACACAGGGATCCCCGCGTGGAATCATGCTGCCAAAGTAGGCCTTAGAGTTTAGATGTGCTTCCCACTCTCACAACGAGTTTAATTAAAAAACTATATAAATACAAAATTTGACTTAGAATTTGTGAGTAGAAATTTATATAAGTACATAAGTTATACACATAACTTTTAAAAACAAAAAATATGCACATAAATTGTTTACATAACTTGTAAAAAACAAAAAAATGCACATAGGTTGTGAAAAGGAATTGTGCATGCAAAAAGATGTTCGCATAACTTGGGTAAACCAAATTATCATGCACATAATTTTACGAAAAAATTATTCAAGACAAAAATATTCCCTCAAACAATTATAGAAAATTATATAAAAACAAAAATTTGTCTCAGAATCCGTGAGCAAAAAAATACAAGCACATAAGTTATACACATAACTTGTAAAACAAAAAATTATACACATAAATTGTTTACATAACTTGTAAAAACAAAAAGAATATGGAAGGAATTATGTATGCAAAAAGATGTTCACATAACTTGGGTAAACCAAATTATCATGCACATAATTTTACAAGAATAAATTATGCAAGCCGACAATATTCACGTAAACAATTACCAGAAAATTATATAAACATAAAATTTTGACTCAGAATCAGTGAGCAAAAAATTATACAAGCAAACAAAAAATTATATAAACATAACTTGTAGTAACAAAAAAATTATGCACATATGTCGAAACCACAGTTCCATTCCATGTGGTGGGCCTCCCTCCGCCAGCCCGCCTCCAAACCAACACACCAGTTTCTCAAAGAGCAAACACTGGCCAAGCGCAAAATTTGAAAACCCTCGACCCGTCGACCCGGTGCCGGCGTCCGACGAGGCGACGGGCCATCCCCATTCCCCACCAGGCAGTCGGCACTCAGATCTGCGGCGGCCCCCCACAATCCAATAGCTCAGAAGACTCGGGAGAAGAAGAAGCGGGGCGATGGAAGACGGCGACGAAAGCGCGGTTGCGGCGGCGGAGGCGGCGCTGGGGCTGAACCCGCAGCTTTTCGTCGACGAGGTCCACGGCATCATTGCCGACATCAGCGCCGGGGCCTTCGAGCACTGCCTCCAGTTACGTTCCCTCCGTATCTTTTTGTGCGTGTGTTCTGTTTAGCCGATTTATCTCCCCTCATTCGCCGCCGACCTAGGTTTGTTAACTTGCCATTTTTCCGTCCCTTTTCTTCTCCAGAGCAGCGGCCGCACCAGGGGTCCTCGGCGCCGCCAAGGCTGCAGAGAAGGCCACTGATCTCCAGCGGGTAAGCGACGGATTCCGCATCATGAATCGATACTGCTCAATTCGTGGGTTGGATTTGGATATGGGGATGGAATGGATAGTTGGTTGTCTGCCCTTGTTTAATTCATGTTCCTTGCTAGTTAATACCATCCCGCTAATCATTTGGGAACTTTAAACTGTGTCAAATATTTGAGTACCTTGGTGTGCGCTGATGCCCTGAGACTAGATAACTTTCTTCTCCACCAGATTTTAAGTGTACATGGATACTGAACGAAGTTCCAGAATATGGTTAAAACGAGACTTGGAAGTTGTTCTGCACTGCACCTGAATTCAAATTCCTCCCGCATGTTATCAGGTTCCCTGGATGTTCTTTATGTAGTGGTGTGGAGACCATTAGCTGATTCGCTAAGTGATATGCACATTTCTGTTCCTGCTTGTCTGCAGAGCTTTACAGTGAAAAAACAGAGAACTGAAATGCATGACTTCATTGTGTGCATCGGGATCTAGAGTGGACTAAGCTTCCAACCATAGCATTGCACTTAGATGCTTGGGTGCTTTGAATGTTTTAGTCAGTCATACTTGTGTATTGCAAGCTCCATAACATGTTTTAGTACATTTGGCAGTTAATTTGTTTAACTTATGCTGCCATTTATTATCACATCTTCTCTTCTACATTTATTATGCTGCAAATTCTTGTTTCGACTTTTTTTTTGGACCAGCAGGACCGTTATTTATGATAAGTAGAAGTATCTCTATGTTTTCTCTGCAGGGATTAAATGCTATTCACCATGTCGTAAAGGATCGACTGGATAAGAGAATGGCCAACTGGGAGAAATTCTGCTTACTGCATTGCTTCGATGTACCCAAAGGTTTTGTGGCCGCTGAAGATGTACGCACCTTATCCTAATGTTAAAGATTTGACTCCAGCATGCTTAAGTTACATGCATTACTGTGGAAAAGTTTCATTTGTGTTCATGAAGGTTCATAATTTAGAAATCTGATGCTTATTTATTGATGTAAACAGTAAACATTTAATTACAGATGCCCACACACTCTTTTGCAGTCATAAAATTGAAGAGGTTGTGGATTCAATATTGGTTAGAGCATCTTCTAAACTGCTGGATTTTTTTTTTCTTGAGAAGGGGCATAAAATACTGAGCTTTGTTTAACTGAATATAATTTCTTACAGGCTTGCAAGTTTGATGTTGTTGAAACCAGTGTTTCTGGCCTTTCTGGTGAATGCGATAATTGTAATACCATCATTCACACTGATCTTAAAAATTACCAATCTATATTCAACATCGGTTAAGCTTGATTTTTGTTGTTGCTTGCAGTAACTAATAAACCTGCGTGTCTTTTGTTATGTTAATGAATGTAGTGATACTTTGTTTCACATTTTCTTCATTCCCTCATCTCACATGTTATCGTAATGTAAATGACTTTGTATACAATATTTTTTTCAGGATATTTCTTGTGCAAAAGAATCACACAAAGATGAGACTTCAGATTTGGATTTGGAACTTGACTCCTTGAGGAGAAAGCTTGAAAGTGTAAGCACCTTAGTTGTAATGAATCAGCTTATAATATATCTAGATTTCTGTAACAATTGCCAGTGTTTCTTACTTTTCACCAGGCTAACATGGAGTCTCAAAATCTTGAAAGAGAGATGTCGTCATTGGAAAGGCAAACTACATACAAAACAAAACTTGATTCTTCTGTCTCTGAGATACAAAAGTTGTTTGAAGACAAATCTGTGCAGGAAAATTTTGAAGGTACGACATAGTATACACTATTTAGTAGTTGAATACTTGAATACAAAAAAGGGATGCTGTGAAGGGTACATCATCTGATCAATTCTGATTAACTTTATCAGTTCTATCTTCTGTCCAGTATTTCTGGTGAAAGTTGAACATGATTATGTGGTTCACCAATGCTACAGTTTTAATATTGACACCAATGTAATTTTAATGTTTGATGGCAAGTGATATTATTGGTTTTCCTTACAGCAAGGAATTAAGGAATTAACTGTTTTATCAATCTGATCAGAGCTCCAAGCTCAATTGTTTATCATTACTAGTTCTGGACCTTGGTGAAATGATGTTGTGTTATGACAACCTTAGGCCTTTGTGTTAAAGATTTGCTTTCATGCCTTGTTTGACAATCTGATACCACATTGCAATTCTTTAATGCTAGCGTGGGTTCAACTTTTAAAGCTTTGATTATAGTTAACTTTTAAAGTTTTTAGTTTAGAAACTTATCATGTGCATAGATTTGTCTTGGAAGTACTTTCATAAAAGGCATAAATTTGTTAGGATGTTTGGCTATGTTCTAATAGAAAATAGTGGTCAAAGATATGCTTTGGAGACTGCCATTCTCCAAAACGTTAAATATTTGCACACTGCAAACTGGAAGGAGTTTTACATCGTGGGAAAAAGGCATTGCAGTTTTCTGCTCCCATGTGTTAGCTTTAGCAAGAAAACTGGTCAAAAATTTGTGGATTCTCACTTCTTCTCATTTGATGTCCTTTAATCTTTTATTTCATGTAAACCTCAATATTATTATGGAACGTGTGACATAAATTAAAAAAGTTCACCTGGAGCCTTAATCTAGATAAAGCTTCTACCCATTTATCAATTCTACCTGCAGTCAATCTAGTTACCTGATCAGAAAGTATGCCTATTCAACTGTACTGAACCTGCAGGTCTTGTGAAGGCAATACCGATATTGCGGCAGAAAATAATAGATATGAACAAGAAAAGGACTGTGACCACGTGTCTGGTAGATCAACAGGTTTGGAACAAAAACAGTTTGACAGACAACAAGCAACAAACACTGGATAAGAGTACTGCCATAGCTCCCTGCTTTTCCTCCAGTTCTCCCGTATATTTATATGCCATTGACCAATAACTCATCTAGCAGGTTCTACTGCTTGTGCTGAAGACATTCAAGAGGTCGTCAGTATCTTACAGAACAAGAGTCATGTGGGACCGCCATTACTCCCACAGGGAGTGCAGGACCAGGGCCGCAGACACCTAGATGGCTAGATGGCGCCAGCAGCGGCAAAATTCCAGGGATCAGCAAGAAGGCAAGAGTTAAGAGGATTAAAGAGGGCAAGAATCAAGAGATTTAAGGAGTTTGTTTCCTTTTGTTTAGTAGGCGTGTACCAGTCCTCATTTGGGATCAAGCGATAGCAAACAATTTCCTAATCTCCCTCGTCTCTCAATCTCACCTCCCTCACGATTGGGCGCTCAGGGGATAAACCCCACTCCATTAATGATCCAGGCTACGAGCTTCGTAGCTGGGGTCCTGCTACCTTAGGCGCCAACGCCCTTGACAACAAGTAGCTTGTTGCTCTTTTCCTGATTCATGTGGCATACCCATAGTGCCTGCAGCTTGCTTGCTTGGATAAAGCAGTGTTTTTCCCCAGTCTTGTTATTGATACCAGATGTTCTCTGGGTTATTCAATTCAAGAATGACTGGGCATCTTATTGGTCATCTGGCACAGGGAAATGCTATATGTAATTGCCTCTAGATCATACTAGGTTGAAAATGTAATCCTTCCTGCAGCTACTTGTCTACCTGTGGTCAAGAGATTGTTTTAAGTGCTTCGGTCATCATAGTTCTTTTAGCATATAGTATGTGGTATATAACCTGTCCTGGACATGAAAAGTGAACATCAAGCTCCATAGATCTGAGAAGTTCCCTGCCGTTTTGCTCTTTTAGTAAGGATCTAGAGAATTGCAGTTATGTTATACGCTTTATTTAATGCTATAATAAAGATGCGCTAGCTTAGACCCGTTTAATGTTTTAATGTAGCTACAGTTGTGCTCCCTTATCTCTTACCCCATCTGTTTTCAGATTATAAGTTATTTTTCTTTCTCCACGTGTCTTTTGCTTTGTCTACGGTTTAGTATTAGCTGTGTGACAGAAAAAGTCCCTAGTGTTTTTTCTGTTGGGATTGAACTCGTGTATTCACTCGACGTCTTGCCTTTCATCGTTATGTGATGTGAGGACTATTGCTCGTTATACTTTACCTCCATGTTGTAGCCTTCGTTTTTAATTATTTCATTTGCACCACAATTTGTTGAGCTTCAGAGCATGAGAGCTTGAAATGCATTTTTGTTGCTTTGTCTGTCATGGTATTAGTTCTTTAGGAGTACTTTTCAATGAACGAACAGTGTTTTTCTTTCACAATAAATCAGCATAAGCCAAATTTTAGCAAAACGTGAACGCTAGAACTCCTTTGCCCTGTCCAGATCTGTATCCAGTTTCATTTGGTTGCTCAACTGAGACTTAACAGTTTTATGCATATAGAAATTATTAATTATGAATTGGGCAGGCTTAGATCGTTTGGTGTACGAGTGTTGAGGCTGCAAAGTATATGAAATCAAAACCATGTTGCAATAGTAAACCTCAGTGACCGAACTGATGCCAACTGAAATGAAATAAGTAAAATTCGATGCGATCATTTCAAAGTGACAATTATAGCTATAGAGAAATGGCAATAATTGTACCACGCCTTCACAATAGGAGCACCAGTGTTCACAGTTGAAGAGTTGTCCGCCAGTTTACAGTTCATCAGTTTCATGATGCATATGTCTAATCTAGTATTAAAGGCATCTAATCCTTAAGTTGTCCAGCATCTCACTGATGATATACTATCCACTCCTGTTCTTCCTTTTGATAACGGCGGCCTCGGGGGACTGGATGCCCCGGGACTGGGGGGAGTATGGCAGGTGGCAGCGCCGGCGAGGAGAGGACTGGATGCCCCGGGACGAGGAGCATCGCCGGCGTCGAGCGCAACGATTCCTAAGACGCATGCCGTTACCGACGGGCCTTCGAGGCCCTTACCATAGCATGAAACTCAAACGAGACCAACTATAGAGGTATATGGCCTGTTTGGTTGGGTGGCTAACCCCCCAACCAGACTCCAGGAAGCCAACTTTAAACTATTTGGTTGCCTGTAAATAGCTCTAAGCCAGGCCCAACCAAGCCACTTTGGAGGCCCTAGCATGGCTCCCGAAAAACGAGATCGAGATCTGTTTTTCGCTGGCCAGGCTTAGCCAAGCCCTCGCGTGCATTTTCATCACCGCCCGTCACCTCCTCGTGCTACTCCTCTGTTCGCGGTCTCGCGCCCTGCTCCTCCGCTGTCCGCTCCCCTTCTCTAGCCGCCGCGCTTGCGAATCCAGGGCCGCCAGACTTCACGCATCCAGGGCCATCGGACTTCACGCTCTGCTCCTCCCTTCGTCTTCACCACCGTCTGTCGTCCTCACTTCTCCAATCTCGAATCGCCGGGTGCCTACTTCCCTACGGCGGTGCCGGTGGGTTGGCCGAAGAGCAGCGTTGCAGGCGCTCCTATCAGCCGCCGCCACGGGCAACAAGCAGAGCGCAGCAGCAGTACCACTGCGCGGCCGGCGTTGCCAGCGCCACGAGATCGACTTGACCTGCAACGGCGGCGGCGGCGTGGTGGCGTCGCGGAAGGGCGGCAGGGACGGCTACCTCGAGCCGCAGTACCACGGCGTGCACGGCGGATGCGCTGTTGGCAGCGGCGGTGTCCACCAGCGAGCGCCCGTTGTCCACGACAGACGCGCTCTTGGCGGTGGAGCTGTGCCAGTAAGGTGGGGAGGTGGACACGCTGGTGCTCGCCGGGCCTCCGCGCGGGGTTGGAGGGCCTCCGCGCGGGGTTGGAGTGGGCGACGGCTTCAGCAGTCCGAGGTGCCGTCGCGTGTCAGGCGCCTCACTTGCGCTGCGGGTGAAGGAGCGTGAGCTGAAGGCGACCATGGCAGATGATGTTGCAGTGGCCATGACGACGGTCACGTGTTCAACGAAACATGTCAACAGGATAAAGCCAAAGCAAACAACAAAACTGAAATGTGTCACAGGATAAACCATGCAAGCCAAAGCAAACAACCAGAACTGAAACGTGTCAACAGGATACACTATACAAGCCAAAGCCGCGCGTACTGCCCTCTACCACAGCACACCAACCAAAGTGCAATATGGGCCACTGATCTAGGCAATGGGCCTTCATGACGCCCATTGACCCCGTCCAGGTAAATATGGAGTAACCGCGGCCCGGGGCTTCCTTATATAGGCGCCTAGCTCGCCCTTGCCTGGTTGCTGCGCCGAGGTGGGACTAAACTCTGCGACTCTAGTCGAAACCAAGACGCCTCGCGCTTCCCACCCGTTAGATTGAGCATGGACGGTTCCGCATGCCGCACTGTGTGAAACAAAGGGAAAACGTGGTGCTTTGCTGGGCCGACAAAGATGCAGCTAGATGGGCCAAGCCTGGTACGTTCGTCGAATCCACGATCCGTTCTGGGTCACCGCCGGTACGCTACGAGCCATTTAACGTTTTGGTCCCTGGCGTTTACCTCTTTTACTTTCTCATCCTTTTCCTTCCCCACGGGCCCTACCAGGCTACCACTTCCAGTTTCGGAGTTCCCCAGTCTCCACCCAAGTCACCGCACCGCCGCATCTAGGTCACCGCCTCGCCATGGCCGGGGACTGGCAGGAGCTGGGCCAAGCGGCGGCCATCGGCCTCCTCTTCGCCTTCCTGGTCGCCAAGCTCATCTCCACCGTGATCGCCTTCAAGGAGGACAACCTCCGCATCACGCGCTCCCCTCCGTCCTCCCCCACCGCCGCCGCCGCCGAGGACGCCCTGGTCCCCGCGGCTGCTCCCCTCCCCTCCCACGACGGCTCCACCGACGGCGGAAGCGGAAGCGGCAGCGACAGCGACTGGGAGGGCGTGGAGAGCACCGAGCTCGACGAGGAGTTCAGCGCCGCCTCCGCCTTCGTCGCGGCCTCCGCCGCCTCCGGCACCAGCGTCCCCGAGGAGGCGCAGCTGCGCCTCTACGGCCTCTACAAGATCGCCACCGAGGGGCCCTGCACCGCGCCGCAGCCATCCGCGCTCAAGCTCAAGGCCCGTGCCAAATGGTAGATTCCAACCCATCCCCTCTTTCTCGTGCTAGGTTCTGCTGATTTGAATTTGAGTTCCGTGCGGTTTTTTCTATCTATATTTATTTGCTTCGGTTCGAATTCAGTTTAGAATCACTTCAGATCAGCGGCATGGCCTATCGGAAGTAAACATAATATATGTTGCTCGTATCTCACGCATAATTTAGTCCTAATTGTTAACTATTGAGCCTGTCTGTACACTGATCATTCATGCTAGTGTTGCCTGAGCATAAAATGACTTTGATCCTGTGTCCTTGCTTTGTGTCCAAGAGTGCCAGTCATCATGCTGCATAACTCTGCAGTGCTTAGGTTTTTCAGCGTGCCGCTGCTATTTTGTGTTTCGAGACTTAGTATTAGCAAGCACTTGAACTCACGGATCGATTGCTTGCAGCTAACTTACTCCCTCCATTCTAAATTGTAAGATGTTTTGGCTTTTATAGATACATTACTTAAACTATGTATCTAGACATAGTGTATATCTAGGTGCATAGCAAAAGCTATGTATCTCTAAAAAGCTAAAATGTCTTATAATTTGGAATGGAGGGAGTATATTATTAGCATACCACTGTCGTTGGCTTCACTCTCTTCCTGTGCTCGTTGATCTTGAAAATATTACTTCAGTTTATTAACATTGTCCATATGTGATCTGAATATGCCAGGAATGCTTGGCATAAGCTGGGTGCTAAGCCTACAGAAGAAGCTATGCAAGAGTACATCACAATTGTTCAGGAGTTATTCCCTAACTGGGATGCAGGTGCAAGTGCGGTAAGTCCTGTGGGATCTTATTGACCTCACTCTTGCTGCAGTCTGTACAACAATCCTCGTGACAGTGTTGGCTTATCCATGAGATAATAATTTCAGAAAAGGAAAGATGAAGATAACATTGCTTCTGCATCAGCTTCAAAGGGGCCCATGGGACCTGTGTTTAGCAGTTTGATGTATGAGGAAGATGAAGGAAATGATTCGTAAGTGGTGTTTACCTCATGGGCATCTTCTCCAGAAGTGTATATATGCTATAAATGTTACCTACCTTGGACTACTGTTTGTAATTGGAACAAACTTAAATGTATATGCAGAGAACTTGGTGACATCCATGTTTCAGCGAGGGAAGGAGCAACTGATGACATAGTGAAGCTTCTGGCAGCTGGTGTGGAAGTCAACGTGAGAGGTTTGTGCTTCCAAACTATAAACTATCTAATGCTTATGTTATACATATAAGCATAATGCCTTAAATTTGGTTTGGTATATGGTATCTTCAGATACTGAAGGTAGAACTCCGTTGCACTGGGCTGTTGATCGTGGCCATCTAAGTGCTGTTGAGGTTCTTGCAAAAGCAAATGCAGATCTGAATGCTAAGGTAAATTGAAATGTATACTTATTGTGTTCTACTATTCATGGCAGATTGATTTGATGAGTAACATGGATCAATAGGTGCTAATCTAGTTATATAGCTGAATGAAGTATATTTGGTTGTTTGCATCTTAAACTACATTAAATAGAAAACATGTTAGCTATGCTCTGTAGTGCAGCATGCCATGATCTCTTGAGACATTTAGGTTTATGAGACTAGTATTACCCTTGTTTGTTGTCTGGAGTGCAGCATGGCATGATCTCTTGAGTCATTTAGGTTTATGAGACTAATGAACTGAACTGAACTGTCTCTTCCATGTTCAGGACAATGAAGGGCAAACAGCACTCCACTATGCTGCCGTTTGTGAAAGAGAAGACATTGCAGAATTGCTCGTCAAGCATCATGCTGATCTTCAGATCAAGGATGAGGATGGGAACACAGCACAGGACTTGTGCCCATCGAGCTGGTCTTTTATGAACCAGGCAAACTGACAACACGAATATACAGATATGCTATGCTAAGTGTCATCTGCCAAGAAACATGCTACCTTACATTAGCTGCATCCTAAGCCCATACTGCACTTGGTCATGTGCTCTTTCGTTATGGGGACATATGGTGTATATCTAGTGTCCTGTTTGAAGTGTGGGAAATTAGACAAATTGTTTGCCGCGACCTGTGCTGTACGTGGCGCCCTCTATGAAGGTTGGGAAATCAGATGAGTTGTTTTTATCGACCTCATCGAACCAGTTGTCAAAAGTCAAGTCCTTGCAGTATTAGTGCTGGGAGATACATGTACTGCTTTACTAAGAAGAATTGTGCTGAACACCAATGGTCTGTTACTGTTAGTGAAAGTAACTACAAACGTACATGGTTCATCAGTTTTTTTGGCAATTCGTGAACCTGTTGTACCTTGTTAGTTGTTACCTTTGTATTGGCCCTCTCGTGCATTTGTGTGGGATTTAAATATTATATGGGGTTGGAGATGACAGTTAGAAAACCTAAAGTTTTTTTTTTTGAAAAAAAAAGAAACAGAGGCTCTTGAATGTTTAGTTTTTTTAATGAAAAAATACCGTAAAACAGACAGTGGGTCACGATGAACAAAATTGATCTTTGCAGTTGGTTGTCTGCTGTACATTTTTCATTTCTTTTTGGCTGCGAACTCCTATTAGAAAGTAAAGGACCTCCCTCCATATCGCTGTCCTGTCCCAGTTTAACTGCTCATAGCTCGTCGTGGGAATCACTATCAACTTCATTGCTGTAATGATCATCCGTATAAACGGTGCTGTAGAAGGATACGTAGTCATCTAGCATCTCCTCAAGCGATAATTTGCCATCTTGGTTAACATCAGCCTGTGCCAATATGCATAGTTGCAATTAAGAAAAAAAAACCAAGGAAACTAAAGTAAATCTAGTTGATAGTTTAATAATTTGGTGTGGCCACCACCTTCATCAAAAACTTGGCATGTGAAGTAGCATATGAGAACTCCCCTGTAATGAGGCTCTGCAGTACAGAGCGTGCTTCTTCCACCGTCAAGTAGCTGAACATTGGAAGAAGAAAAAAAGGATAAAATCTTGCAAAACATTTTTTTTTAAAAAAAACTATAGGTTAACTCTACTATTTCATAAGCTTGTCAAATTATTATTAGAATGTTTTACTTGTCCATGTCAGCGTCCAATTCTCTGAACTTCTTTTCAGCTTCGGCACGCTCAAGATCATGGCCACCGTCGTGGTGATGTGCACCGGAGATGTGGAGAATCATGTGAGATTGGGCAACGAACTCCTCCAAGCTTAACTTGCCATCTCCGTCATGGTCCATCTCACTGTTCTCCACCCAAAACAACCAAATAAATATTACTACTCGCAAGAGTAAAAACACAAAAATATCATGGAATTAGGTATTTTAACGTGTTCCCAAACCACTCGTCGATCGTGCCTTAGTTTGTCCTTCAGAAGCCACCGCATCACGCTCTCCTGGCTGCTGTCTTCAGGATGCAAGAAGCTGTGATGGCAGCATATTTACGTTACAAAAAAAAAAGGTTGCAGAAGAAAAAAAATCAGAATGTGTATATATTATGTGGTATAAATATGACGTATTTATACTCGTTGAATTCGACGGCGTTGAGCGAGCCGTCTCCGTCTCTGTCCGCGCTTGCAAACTTGTTCATGGACCACCCCATTTTACCATGTCCCATGTTGCTCCAATCTTAACATTCGTTTTGAATGCAGGAATTTCATAGAAATCGTGCAGTAATTTAACATGAATCAGTTAAATTTCATATGGAAAAACGCAGAAACGGAATAAAATTCTCGCGTTCGGCGAAATAATGTTGTTCCATCTGCATCAGTACGTAGCAACCCGTAATGTTGTGAACCCGAGATTTTTACGCACGCACTCACCTGCGAAGAACTCGCGCAGCGTGACGGCACCGTTGCCGTCCATGTCGTGCCGGGCCATCTCCCTCCGCGTGACGGCGTCCAGGCGGGCAGCGGCCTGCCGGCGCAGCCAGGCCTCCAGCTCGCCGACGCCGACGCCGCCATCCCTGGGCGACCGGTCAAGGATAACGAACAGGTACGCGAGGCGCTGCCGCACGTCCAGCGGCCCATCCAGCCCGAAGTACCGGTGCATGGGGCCGAGCTCGGCGTCGAAGCGCGACCAGTCGGGCAGCAGCCGGTCGAGCTTGTCGCGGAACGTGTCGATGTCAGGGAGGCCGCCGCCAGGGGCGGGGGCGGGGGCGGGGCGTGGGCGTGGGCGTGGACGCGGAGCGGCTGCCCGGACATGCCGAAGCGGAGGACGATGTTGCCGGACCCGGACGGAGTGTTGTTGGCACGGTGGCCACCGGCGCGGCGGTGCGCGCGGACGACGGCGGCGGGGACGGGGACGACGGATGCCGGGTCGGAGAGGGACATGAGGAGGTGGTTGTACACGCAAAGCAGCGCGACGGCCGACAGGAAGACGACGGCCACCGCGGAGCCTGCCATGGTTCAGCCTGGGGCAGCCAGCGAGCGGCCGGTGGCCACGCACCTCGGCCGGCTGGATGTGTGGCGCTCGTGCTCACCCTACCTCCTCCGCGAGAGGAGGGTGGGTGGCACGGCGGAAGGAATGCGTCGGTGCGTCGGCCGGCCGGGTGGAGCTGCCGGAGCGAGCAGCGGTGGTGTATTTGTACTGTACCGTGGCACTGGCATGGAATGGCACCCCGACGTTGGTGGGCGGCCGGTGGCTGCCTGGCCGGCCTCCGAAGCCGCGCGCGTCCAGAATTGGCTAGTGCTCTGGCCTACCGTGCATTGTTCTCTCCATCTTTGGATGGATGTCTTGCTTCCTGCAAGTGCAAGGTGGGCTGGCCTGGGCTTTGCGTTGTTGGGCTAACGCATGTCTCCTGCTTGTCCCAGCCTCCCAGGATACGGTCGGCTCCTAAACGTGTGCGGATGTGCAAGTTAAAAGGAAATCGGTTTAACAAGTGCAAGTTAAAAGGAAATCAGTTTAACAGGGTTCGTACGCCGATCTGCGGATGTCCCCATCTGACCGCGTGGAAATCGTGGTTAGCAACCTCAAACTCAAAGTCATGTTGTGCCTAGCCCTTTTTAGCTTTTTTTTTTCTTCAGTTGCTACTGCCGGCAACGGCAAGGACCAGGCCTCCAGACTGTAAACGCAGAGGCAAATTCTTGACGAAAATGCAGAAAGTGGTGGGCATGTTTGGGCTACAGCTTTTGTCTCCACGCATGAAAAACATTTTTCAGCATGTAGCAGTATTCCTCGATAGTTTTGTTTTTGTTTTTACAGATCGTTGCAGTTCTTGCATGGCAAATCCAAGGCACTTGAATATTGTGGTTGCCTCGAATTCAATAATCTGTCTGCGATAGTCACTCGTCACACTAGTCAGAATATGGACACCACAATTTGGCCGTAGCCTACCAGAATACATATATACCTATATATCTATAACATGAAACTACAGGAAGAACTGGTCCTAAAGGGGAAAATCTTTCGCCTACTCATCCCAGCAGTACTGAAGTACAAGACACATCAGGTAGTTTCTTTCTTTTTTGGATGAATCCTGTTTAAACAAAAACAAGGTTCTGAAATCCTGTTTAAAAAATGCCCTTCTTTCCTCTAATAACTTCACATCAAAGCACCATTTATATAAATGTACCAGACAAGAAGAAAACGAGAAAGGCTTGAAAGAAGAAAAAGAATGGAAGGGCACTGCATTCTCAACCAAGTTTGCGGTCAATAAGCATCATGCAGTGATGCAATTCAAATTTAAAAGTTTGCAGGTAATACAACATAATACAATTGCTGTATGGTTTTAAGTAACCTCATAATTCAGCAATCTTCAAGCTAGAGTCTCTACATCCTCTTCCCTCAACAAGACAAAATTTAAGTTCGTTCAAAAGCTAGTCTTTAAATATCAACTGTTGTTGAGACAGCCATACTGGTCTGCAAGTTCGCAAGAATAAAAGCACAACTTTACATAAATCCAGCAAGCAGGAACTTCCCTGCAAGAAGTGCACTAATCTTGCTTCATGGCTAAGATGGAAAGGTTGTAGCTTCTGACACGAGCAAGTTAGAATTCAAAGTCTGAGAGAACTGTGATTTTACCACATTGAGTGCAAGAAGTACGCTGGAAAATTAAGTTTCTAAGTCTAGCAAAACTAAATGTTAATACACAAGTTAAAATGTTATCAACATCTGCTTTCTTGGATGGCACACTGACCAAAAGGCATCCACATGTAAACAGCGGCAATGAATTTAGTAAGACTGCTTGTACAACTTACAAAGTGGTAAGTTGTACTATAAAATAATACATCATGAAGAAAATCGTCACTAACAGAGATATTATAAACTTTACTCAATCATCTAGAGCAAGAAATCATTGCCAACAACTAGTTAGAAGCTTCCTGGTACAGAAAACGTCTCATGTACCCTGTACCTTCAGACCCAGGATGACATGTGTCCTTTCATTGTTGCAAAAATAGTCTCTTCAAGCATCACAAGGGTGCTATTCCATCAGGCAGCAGCACTGGAGAGAAAGAGGCAGCGCACATCCTGCAAGATAATCACTAATCAGTTCACACATGTATAGTTTAAGAAGCAGGTCCAAGTACAGAACAAATGCTTCAAAGTTGGTACCTATAAACACCCTAAACTGAATATCTATGCAATTAGCTGCGACAGCTGAACTAGCCATATGCACAGAATATCATGTCTTTACTGATCTAAGACAAGTAAGCTTTGGCCCATATAAAACACTACAGAACTATTGCACTACTGAAAGTACATCTCAAGTAAGATAAAAAATTAAAAACGCAAGGAGTCATACCTATTGTACATCATATATTCATATGTGATCTCTACTCCAGAAATTCTTCCATAAGACCCTATAGTAAGTTCAGCATCATATTATTACCAAAAGAGATACTGATCGAAGGACATCACAAAGAAACAGATAGCAAACCTGTGATATAAATTGTTCTACGTCTGTGCGCCTTAGGAAATGGAGTGAGTTCTTGGTCAATGACACAGAATGGTCACCAAGAGATACTTCGCCAATGTCCTCCAGGACCCGAACCTGAATGTAAGGATCCTTGGGAGGAACCATATCCTGTAATAAAGGGTATAAGATGTCATGTGGGGAAAGAGATTCACCCGCAGAGCTAATGGTGCGCCTTTAGGGGGAATTATGTGCGCACCATTAGCTGGTGCTATTTTTTAACGAAATAGGGAGCCGAGGGGCAAAACCTCGCTCCACCTCTACCAGCGGCTACGCTCTGCGCAGCCAAGGTTCTCCACCTACAGCACCTCCATTACCCACAACCCGACGCCATAACATAAGAAGTCTGATATCTCATCCCTAAGAAAGCATAAGAAACAGAAAAAAAACTCCATACCACTGTCAAATCTATATCCATCTCTGAAATGTATGATTTCATGGCTGCAGAGTGGTTCTTGAAGTACTCTTTCTCTAAGAAATGGAGCTTTTCTTGTATGTCGTGAGGAAGCACAGGGCCAACCTTCCATCTAAAACTCTGAATAACTTCTGCTCGGTTGTACCTATTTGGATATAATTCTTTCAGCTAAAGTACACACATAATCAATTTTAAGCATGTGCTATCAGCATAAACAGAGAAACAAAAAGTTAGGTCATCAGTGAACTTTTCGTTTTGTACATGTAAGCCATAAGGCATCTTTTGTTATGGAGCAGGGAAAGATGGTGGATAGCTGCACCATAGTGATCCTCATTTCTAGTTGTCTCGATATCTAAGTTTTGCTCCACCATTTTCCTGTCATAAGCCAGGTCTAGTCAGTAAACTGTGCATTGGAAATGCCAATTAATCAGGGTAATTTTATATCAAGATGGTCAACAACTCAACAATCTAGTAGGATACAATTTACCTGATCAGTGATTGAAATTGTGAATTGTGCTCATTGCACTCTCTAATCACCTGATCAAACACGTCACTCGGCACATTTCCAGAGATTGCATGTTAAGTAGAAAAGAAACTAAAAGGAACTGCGACAATCAAAGTCACATTGCTTCTGATAATGGAACACTAGTACAAGTATTTTCAACCTTTTTAGTTTTTTTTTGCACTATACAATGACATAGTACACAATATTGCAGTGGTACCCTTAGTTTCGTTCTGAATATTTCATAAACCATGACTGTTTACATCCATATTAAATACACACGGTAAAAAATATGATTATGAATTAATGAAACATGTAGTGATCTTTTTTATCTAAATTCATATGTATGTATAGGGTTTAACTTGATGGAGAATTAAACCAGGTCCCATATGATTTTCTTCCAAATTCAGATAGCACATACTAACTAACATGCTTAGAACGGAGTTTAAAAGGCACTCACTCGCAGGCACATCTGTCAGCCAACCAACAATATTTGATCAGACGGGCAGACCCCGTGTCGAAGGCTCCCACATGAGTGGGGTCTGGGGAAGGGAAAAACCGAGGCAAGCCTTCCCCCCGCAAATCTGCAGAGAGGCTGCTTCGAACCCACGACCTGGTGACTCAGTGAGAATATTTGATCAGTTTATGATTTTTGAGGTGCTACCACAGAAGTAAAGTAACACTTTCGACTGAGGATACAAGAAGTTTTCTACACGCAATTTCACCCATCGGACACAGAACACACCAGATCACACAAAATGGCGGCCTGTCACAGACATAAACGAGATAGAAGAAGGAATCACTCTGATTCCAAACTAGTAACTGCAGGTGAGTACAGAGAAGCGAAAATTACGTTGAATGGTGCGAGCTGGCCAGCCTCTGAGGAGTCGATCTCCTTCAGCAGCTGTGACGCATACCTCCCGTACATCATCCTCCTGAACCCAGGATGGAACTTGGGTATCCCTGAGCGGTGGATCAAAAAATGTTCAATCCAAAAGGCGGAAAGTCCAGTCATGTCAACAACTAAAGTATAAACTGTTCAGAGTAAAGATTTCTCAACTATTTAAGAGAAAGCACAAGACATTATAAAATTACAGTCTAATAACATTCTCAAAAAAAAAGCGACTCCTTTATGGCTTGGAAGTGTTTGTCGTTGATGATGTCACTGTCCTTGATTTCCATAAAAATTCATGTTCAATAAAAACAGCCAAGCAATAGTTCAAGCATTGATTCTCCACTCTATTTCTTAAACTTATTTTTTTCACACAATTCATTCAAGGAAAATTCATCTCAAAACTAACAGCTGCTAGTTACTACAGCAAGTTGAAAAGCTTGTACACAAGCTTGTGTTTTGAGGTTCTTCTTTATTTCAACAAACATAATAGAAAGCTCATTAAGATTTTTCGCTATTCTAAACCTTTCATCTCTACAGGTATGGGTCAGGGGCGGACCCAGTAAAGGGTCTACACCCGATAATTTTTGTAAAACAAATCGAACTTAGTGGGCATAAGGCATCCATAATTCCATATACACTTTTTAATTAGAATCAGATCCAAATGCAAATGGTAAATTAGGGTTTGGTAATCGGTTTCGCACATCATGAAGGGAGGGCCAAGTGTGGGCGTACCTGGTGGTGCTCCTCGCCGACGAAGGGCGAGACCTGGGCACCTGGCGTAGGGCGGCAGTGACGGCCGCCCGGACGTCGCGATCCAAGAGGGAGGAGGGAGCGAGAGAGAGCGCGCACGTTGGGGGTAACGTTGGAAGAGAAGGCACGCTGACGCTGGCCGCCCAGTCTTCGCTGAGACACCAGAAGCAGACTCGCGCCAGTACTAGGCAGACCGGTGTTGGCTTGGCGGGGTCGTTTTTTTTAAAAAAAAAAAATAGACCTGCTAACGTCCAGGACATCTGGACGTCCGCACCTGCAAACAGTTCCCACAACGTTTCGCGCGTCCACGGGTCCATGCTGCCCCAACGTCAGGCATCGAGAAGAAAGAGGGGGTGGCGGATGCCGGGAGAAGGAGACATCGAGCCCGAGATGAGACAACACAAAATGAGGAGGGAGATACAATATTCAATCTACTTTTTAAATATATAGATATAACACTTGCAATATACGTCTGAAAATAAAATAAAACACTTGAAACATGCATCTGAAACACTTGCAAAAACACCTGAAAAAACACTTAAAAAACATTGTAAAACATACACAACATCTAGATAAAACGCTTGCAACATATGTGTGAAACATACGCAACATTCAAATAAACACATTTACAACATATGTCTAGAAAAATAGATGAAACAGTGGGAACAGAAGCTTGCAACATACGTATAGAACCATTGCAACATATGCAAAACATCCCGATCTACTTTTGCAATATCCGCATGAAACACTTACAACATACCTCTAAAACATATAAAACACTTCAAACATACCCCTGCAACATGCGTTTTTCACCCTGGTTCTTCCATACGACGCATCACAGAGCAAGGGATGGGCAGGCGGAGGGCAGCGCTGTCGCGACCCCTTCTGGAAGCGAGTGGAAGGGTGGGTGGGGACAAACCGTCGACGAGCTTTGGCCGCGCTACGGCTGCCGCCGTCACAGGCAGGCAGAGAGGGAGCACGAGGATAGGCCAGCAATGGGCGTAGGCTGCCGGCTGGCTCTAGCTGAGAGGAAGGGCCTGGCCACAGGCGCAAGCAGCTGCCAACGAGCTCTGGCTAGGCAGGGGAGGGAATAAGGGGACGGCGGGGATCTCTGGCCGGACGGGGGATGAGAAGAAGGGGCTGTCGACGGGTGCTTGCCGGTGGAGGCGCCACGGGGGATGGCGCGGGATGGATGTGCCGCGGGGAGTGGGACAAGCGAACGACCACATGTTGAGAGTTTTTTTTTAAAAAAAAAGCACGTCCGGATGGGCCGACGACCGTGGCACTCCCATCCCTACTGATATGCCCTGATACTAGTTGCTAATATGTTTCTTCACTGGTGAAAGGCTCCTCTAATAAAATGAGATAAGTGATTGCTTGAATAAGATTTGAAAGGTCAAAGATGGTGTTGCGGAATTCACATCTACCCAGCCTATCCTTATATGCTTCCCAGAGGATTTTAGCATTTTTCTTGATGGTTGGAAACAAGAACTTCATTAGAAAATTTAAGGTGATCAGTGATAAGGGATTTTCTGTGTTTGATAGTTTCATTAACATGAAAGAACTTGGTGCCCACATCACCAAATTTCACCCATTTTACCTCCAGTAAACTGTCTACTGGTTAAATAGGGAGAGTAGCTTCATGTTATTATTTTTATATAGTTAAGAGATATAGCTAGTCAAGTATTCTCACTGCATCTAACCAAACAAAAAAAATTGGCTGATCCTATCATCAAACACACAACTTGAATGGCCATATCCCTGAAAACATGGATGCATCCTAAGCCAACCTTGCCATCAATCCAAACACACCCATAGTCATGGGGAAAACACAATAATAATCAATCAATCCTCGAGAGAGCGAGGTCTGATCAAATAGATAAGATGATGGTATCATATTGTCCCGGTCCTGACCAGCTCCCTTAACTCTAGTCCTCCATTGTTATTCTTGAGCATCATGATTCGTTCCGATTCCATCAAAGGCATAGCAAATGCATGCATCCAGCCATGGAGTCAAATCAAGGCCACAAACAAGTCAGTCCCATGGTATTTTCCTGTGGATTGTCCACTCCGACGGGTTCACGGTGGCGTCACCGCTGGAGGAGACAAGATCGAAGGGGGAGTCCTCAGCAAACTCCGTTGGCATCGCCTTCCAGTGCAGGCATGGTTCCCACTCTGCCGCTTTCAACACCTTCAGGATCTCTTCCACCACAATGTTGCTCCCTTCTTCAGACAGATGCAGCCCATCCCTGCAACACAAAAGTTATTGACTTCTTATTCAGGCCGGCGACAAGAACAAACAGCAAACAACTCACGTGAAGCATGCAGTCATCCAGTCCTCCCTCTTCTGCATGGCATGCCAGAGATCAACCACCTTCAGGTTCATCTCCTTGCACAGAGCTACGCAGGCGTCAGAGTACAGACGGCAGGTTTCGTTAGTCCGGACGATCTCACTCAGTATAGTACTGCTGCACACATAATATGTTCAGTTCCATGTGTTATATTATACTGCAACAAGCCTGGATTCACCACACAATTGACCTCTCACCTGGTTGAGTTTCGAAGCATCTCCTCGTTCAGAGGTGGGCAGCTCAGGAAAATGACTCGTGTCTTCTCAGAGAGGCTCTGACCACAAAGGCAAACCAACTGTCAAACACCTAGCTATTGGTGCACCACCATTCCAGGAACATCTTGCTAATCAACGCTCTACCTTTAGGTGTTCTGCAATCTTTCTCATGTTCCCTATGTACTCATCTAGCGGCACATGAGACCCGAGTCCAGAAGAATGAGCAGCAATGGAGTCGTTTCCACCAAAGTAAACTATTACCAAAGACGGCTGCACTGCTGAATCCTATGGCAAATGGAGAGTAGAAATCAGTTAAAATTTGGACGACAGCCAGCTAATTTTTTAATATCATCAAATATTATTTTGTAAATTGATTAGAATCATTACATCATAGTATTGGTCCTTGAGAACGTACACGTGTGTTAAACGTACACGTGTGTCATCATATAGATAGGTAACTAAAAACCACTGAAATTTTCCATTACTTTTTTAACAGAGGTAAACCCAGCTTTTATAGAAAACTTAAAACGTAACTGAAAATTTTCATTATGGTATGATAAACAAGTTAAAGAGTGGTCAAGTAATCAGCAGTTTATCATAATGCCGTTAGCTAAGACTAATGGAAGAAATAGGCTTGAAGGGAAGAAGCAGACTTCCACTTGTTAGAAAAACTGCATAGAAGAGGATTATATTACTTAGGCAGTAGCAGTTATCAATGATTAAAAAACAAGGCCAAAACTGTAAGAAATTTATGTGCCCCAAAATGACATTTTGTAGAGAGAAATGTAATTGTTAAAATAGAGATACACAAACAAAATTGGAGATCCGGACCATATATACCTTAGGGAACACTTTGTCCATCACTTGAACAGCCCGCCTTGTGTTCCAGCCGATATATCCTCTTAGCAGGATATCAGCCTGAATGAATAGCAAGCAGAAATAAGCATTACTGAAGTAAAAACATTGCTAGCTTAGGTACTTTCATTCACCAATAAATTGACCCGAAGATTAATTTGACATAAGATGTGAATAATTGAGTTTACCTATCGGTTGCCCTAGTGAGATCACAAAATAAAAACTCAGGACACCGTGTTATACACTAGTTATTTGTGTGTGATTTTATAATAACAAGAATGAAAGTTCCACAAAGAAACCAGTTAACCAGAAGCTGAATCTAGTGACCAAACCAAACTGTGCAATATACTTGTATTTTAAAAATTATATGCTTCCAATGTATCTCTTCTTCTACTTCTTTTTAAAAAGTTGGGTTGAGTGACCTTTCATATGTATATAGTGGAATGTTATTATATAAAAATAGCTGGGCCACCATATTTATAAAGTTGTCCTAGTGGTATGTTCTTTCCAGTTTGATAAAACCAGATGCAAATGTAATTATCTATCATGACCGAAAATGTGCAGTTTTATTTCCAGGCGTAAACTCGTTTGGTGCAGAGATTTTCCTAGTCCAGATCTTTTGCTTTCCAAACATATATGTACTTTAAGATGAAGTGGCCAATTTTTGTCATAGGCATTTTAAAGATGCTATCAGATAGCATGTCTTACAGAATCAATTAGCAGTAATATACATAGTCAACAGAGAGCAGGTTATCATGCCTAACTAGATACGAATGAAGATATATATCAAATCAAGATAATAAATAAGAAGTTTCCATTTCAGGACATGCATGCAAAATACAAAAAGTATCCTTGATAGGAAGGCATAGCATAGAAGGCATATTGAATAGAAAGGCATAGCATAGAAGCCCCAAATTGGGTCCAAATTGAGAATTCCACTGTTTAGTCCTTTTTTTCCAGTCTCCGTGACCTTCCTCTGAGTTGAAGTTAAAGAGCTTGGCATGTTCCTTCACTTTTGTGTTAGTCATTGCAGGGATCAAAGGAAGCAGGGATCTAGACTTTGTTATAACTGGTGCCGTTCTATCCTTTAAAACACAGGCTAGGTATATATCGTTTTGGGAAGCAGATGTACAGTACTGTGCAAACAACAATTGCTAGCTGACTGAATAATGGAGAAGTGGAGATGGCCGGACTCCATTCAAATTCAAGACGGTGAGAGTTGGTGGCGTGAATAATGGAACATGGTACATTAATTCGTGCAGAACCAGTAATTTAACTTGTCTGACGACTGACTGCCCGATTGCTAGCTGTTTGGTTCAAGTTACGGTTGAAGCACGAAAGGATGCACCATGAACAGACTAACCAACAGAAACAGAGAGAGAGAGAGGAAATCTGTCTCTTCATGTCGATCTCTCACCGCCACCACCGTCGCCGGCAAGGAGAGAAAAGCAAAGACGCACAGCACAGATATGATGCAGCAGCAGGCGTAGCGTACCTTGCGGGCGTAGATGTCGGCAAGCGCGGCGCCCCATCCGCCGTTGCTGAAGCTGTACTGCACGATGGAGGAGCCGAAGAGCACGAAGAGGGGACGGCCTCCAAGCATTGTCCTCCTATCTTCTTCCTTGGGCGTCTCGTCTGGTTCTCCGATCCGGGACCCCTTTGCCTCCCTTGGTCCCTGATGGCCTGACCGATCAACCTCGATCGATCTACTCTGCTCTTCTCTCTCTCTTCGGTTTGGAGATCGACCTGTGCTATAGCTGCAAGCTGCTATGGTGATGATCTATGGATGGATGCAATGGATGGAATCCAGAAGAATGCAGCAAGGAGTAAGGATGGGATGGATCCGAGTCGGAGGAGACACTAGACAGGAAGTAGCTGGAGATATGAATGAACGTACGTACTCCGTATAGCGTACTAGTGCACCACCCACTGCGGCCTATTTAAGCAAAAAAATAGCTACTATTTAGGCTTAAAAGATTCGCTTACTGCAGGCGTAAGCTTTTTTTTTAACATTTAAGAGTTTCTGCGGCCGCTAAAGATTTGATGTGATGGAGAATCTTGAAAATTTTTGGTTTTGCTTGGAACTAAGGGTGCGTTTAGATCCAAAAAATTTTGGATTTTGGCTCACCACACGTTTGTATTGAGTAATTTAGGTGTCTAATTAAATCCCTTGAATGCCATATCAATCCCTTATATGACATTGAAAAATGTAAGTTTCCTTTGTTGCCATTAGTTTAAATTTTACTTCCCCTTTGTGCCATGCTGTCACATGAATGTTTGGTGACTGTTAATTGATACTGAAAAGACAAATTTGCCCTCTAGATGCAATGAAGTAATTTTGTCTACTTGCGTGCAAGATTTGCTGCCTTGGGAAATTTTATATTTTGGGTTACATGCTTATTGTATAAAAATGTTTTTGTATTGTTTCAAATACAACTAGAGCTGCTGTCATCTTTGACTGTTAATTGACACTAAAAAGACAAATTTGAACAGATGCAATGAACAATACTTGCCTTTGCTGCCGTTACATGCATTGTATAAGAATTTTTTTGTACTGTCAAATACAACTAGAGCTATTCATCTTTCACGTTTACCAAAAGAGAACAAGACAATCAGTGTTTTTTTCCACGATAAAAAACCAAATTAACTAATATAGTTTTTCTCCCACGAAACCCAAAACTAAACTAAACCAAAGAAACTAAAAATGCAATGAACATGCCAAATAATTTCAGACCTAAACTTATTGAAACTTTAGTTTGTCCAGGACTGATTTTCCATCAGAGTTAAAGGCGAGGAACCATTTATTTAATAACATGCTGCCTTCCAAGAAGATGAGGACATGGAGGAGTTACTTCCGTCTCGACAAGCAGACCACAGACGAGGACGAGGGAAACTGATCTGCACTCTGCTGACATTGAAGGCCAGTAGGCCACACACACCGTGCTTGGGGGAGAGGCTCCACTCGCAGACCGGCGAGGACATGCTGCATGCAGACGGCGTAATTGGAGAAAAGCGCGGCCAAAATAGACCAGTCTAAGAGGGTGCACTTGATTCTATCTACGACCGTATTAGTGTAGAAAACATAAAGTATTGTCTGACTCATAGGTATCACTCCACAAACATAAGTAACACAGACACAAATTTTTTTTAAAAGCAAAAAGTAATAGGGTGTCTCTGGGGCGTGCGGGCTGTGCGACCGAATAGGGCCCCAAAAATCATGGCCCCAGGATTTACTAAGACTTCTCCAACGAGATATGCAAAGGGCGACGCATATCTAAAATCGGTTATGCACCGTGTTTTTTTCTTCTTTTAAATTTTAGTCGTTGTCTCATCAAATGTTTGAACATATGTATGAAGTATTAAATATAGACTAATTATAAAACTAATTGCATAATTTGCAAGACGAATCTTTTAAGCCTAATTAGTCCATGATTTGACAATGATTTTGCTACAGTAAACATGTACTAATGATGGATTAATTAGGCTTAAAAAATTCGTTTCGTGGAATACTGACGGATTATGTATATTTTTTTATTAGCATCCGAATACCCCATGCAACATCCTTTCGACATACCTCCTAAATTTTAGTCACCGGATCAAACACCCCTAAACCAGTAGCATTTTTGTGTTAAAAGTGTAAATTGGGGGCTATGAGGAGAACTGTGGCTAGAAAAGACTATAAAAGAAAGCATGTCATTTTGGTTCGTAGTTTTAGCTTATTTTGACAGTAAGCAGCTTATAAAAGGTATACTTAGGCCCCGTTTGGCAGGGCTTCACTTCACTAGTGAAGCCATTTTTTATATTTAGTATGACACATGAGTGTCACTTGATTCTAAAATCTACTGTGAGAGCATGTTTTTAGGGGCACGGAGGAGGAGCGGGAGAAAACTATAAAGTCCTTCCCACCCCAAAGCTCTGAGAGCACACGTTTTAGGGGCTCACTCCACAAGTTTATTTTAACAGTAACGGCTCCAATGGCTCTTTGGAGAAGCCCCGCCAAACAGGGCCTTAGTATGACACATAAACTTGATTCTAACAGTAAGTGTAGAAAACATAAAGTATTGTCTGACTCATAGGTATCACTCCATAAACATAAGTAACACAGACACAAATTTTTTTTAAAAGCAAAAAGTAATAGATAACGAGCAGGGGTGTCTCTGGGGCGTGCGGGCTGTGAGACCGAATAGGGCCCCCAAAAATCATGGCCCCATGATTTACTAAGACTGTCTCCAACGAGATATGCAAAGGGCGATGCATATCTAAAATCGGTCATGTACAATGTTTTTTCTGGCTCCAACAGAAGACGCAGTCGGAGCAGGCATTTTGGGATGAGGCCGACCGGGAGGCATATTTGCGTCGTCCTTCTCAAGACGCAAACTCTTCCGCATGGCAGCCACCGCGCTTGTCTTCGCCTTGGCGACCACATCTCGCCTCTCTCTCTTTCCCTTCTCTCGGCGGCGGTGGCAGCGGCTACGGCAAAGCGACCCACCAATGAGGGGGAGGCCCCGACGTGGTCGCCAGAGAGGACCCCAGCATGGCAAAGATGGGGCGAGTGCCCCCCGGCCAAGTGAGTGGGTGCCCCTGCGCGCCCAGCAGGGCCCGTCCTGGCGTGGTGCACACATGCGTGGCCAAGTGCAGTAAGCATGGGCATGCATGCGAAGGCAGGCTGGCCCAAGACAGCAGCCTTCCGGCGCGCCTTGGCGGCGTAGGCGAGACTCCATGGCAATGGCCGCCTCCGCGAATATCTTGATCGCTTCACGACTCCTCGGCTCCCATCCCTCTCTGTCTCACAGGCTGCAGTCTGGCGGTCTGCAGGCGACCCTGACGGCGAGCAAGTGAGCTCGGGAGGAGAGAAGCAAGGAGGAGCCGAGGGGGAAGTGGGCGGTTGGCCGGATTTACGCAGGAGGAGGAGGAGGCCGTGAGGGAGGGAGCTCGCCGGCGATGCGGGCCCGACGACGATGGCGAGGCGGGGAGGGAGGCGCGCTGTTGGAGAAGGAATGTTTTGGGGAGGTGACCTATTTACTGTGCAGAACTCAAATCCGGGTATAGGTCGCTGATTTAGGTATTGGTTGTTGGAGATAGTCTAAGGAGTGTTTGGTTCTTTAGTCGCTCCTAAAATTCATGTCACATCGAATGTTTAGATACTAATAAAGTGCATTAAATATAGATTAATTACAAAACTAATTACATAGATGGAGGCTAATTTGCGAGACGATTTTTTAAGCCTAATTAATCTATCATTAGCATATGTGTACTGTAGCACCACGTTGTCAAATCATGGACTAATTAGGTTTAAAAGATTCGTCTCGCAAATTAGTCGCAAGTTGTGTAATTAGTTTCGTAATTAATCTATATTTAATACTCCATGTATGTGTCTAAATATTCGATGTGACATGAATTTTAGGAGGACGTGTGGAAAACAAACACCCTACGTATTATAAGTATATACAATAATTTTAGACTTTGTTTTAATTAGTAAATCAACCACAACTGCCTTCTTTGGCCCATAAATGTGGCCTGCTGGAGTACAACAAAGACTGGGTTGTTTGCTTCCCAGCCACACCTCGCCACCGCCGCAGTTGAGGGAGCCACACCCATGCAGGCCAGTGTTTGGTCTATTAGGCTGCCACAACTTTTCATACTTGCATGCAATAGTATTTTTCGCCACACTTGTGGCGCTAGGGGCCTCGTTCACTTCTAAATTTTTTCAATTTGATGAATAGTATCAATTTCGTTTTATTTAATAAATATTGTCCAATTGTGGACCAACTAAGTTTAAAAGATTCATCTCGTGATTTCTACTAAACTGTATAATTAGTTATTTTTTTTATCTATATTTAATACTCCATACAAGCAACTAAAAATTAATATGATGGAGAGAAAATAAAAAAACTTGAAATTTGAATGGCATCTAAACAAGGCCTAGTTTTCTTCGCCTCCGCCACAGCCCGCCACACTTTGGCGTGGCGCATGTTGGCTGGGAACCAAGCAGCCCTTAATAGTTCATAGAACACTCAAAGTAGTTCCAATCAAAGCATGAAAGTGGTTTCATAATCTTCTGAGCTAAAATAATTTTTCTAAGATTAAACTAAGTTTTACTAATTTTTAATTGCATAACTTTTCGAAGAAAAGAATATGAAAAGAATCCAGGTGATGTCGTGACAGACAAATTCATGATATAAAAGCATAAATAAACAATTTTAAAAATTAAAGAGGATAAAATCTGGTTTTACAAATAAGAGGGGGAACTGTATTGTTATATAGTTGATGAGATGGCCAAATGGACTCTTTTTTTTAACAGACGCAAATTAACAGCCTACAGATGGGAGCCCAAGACTCGTGATAATAGAATTGATGGAATATTCTGAATTTGTGTTCTGCAACACTACTTCAGCAGTATTTTTTAGTAAACGAATAATATTTTTCTCTCACAATATTTCAGCATAAGCATAAGCATAAGCTAACTTTCAGCGAAACGAACAGAGTGGTCTCTGAACTGATTATGTAGGGTACTCCATACTAAAAAAATAAAGTCGTTTGGACAGCGACATTATCTTCAAAGTATAACTTTGACTTCTTATTTTTATAAAAATATTTATCAAA